TCTTTGGAGGGACACAGTTCCACCCACAACAACAACAATAACAAGACAGCGGCATTCATGTGTTATGGCAACACTAATAAAATGTTCAGAGATCCGTAGATAGGAGTTCACTGAAGTGGAGGGCAGTGATAAAGGCTAAGTTTGGCTGAGGTGTGGCGTGTGACTGGAGCGTAACATGCCCCGAGAAGACTTTATCATTTTTCTTCTTGCTTTTAGCTTGGGATACAACCACAGGGCTAAGCACACACTCCACCACTGTGCTGCACTCCAGCCCTATTCTTCTGTTTTTTCGGACAGGCAATGGGTTTCTTTTAGTACTCTTTATGATACGTGTGTTATTTTTGTGTGTGGGTGTGTATATGTTGTGTGTTCATGTGGATATACACAGCTATGATACCCATGCATGTGTGTGCATGTGGGGACCAGAGGTCTCTGTCAGGTGTTTGTCGTCCTTGGCAGCTCTACACTTTTTTTTGTTTTGAAACAGGGTCTCTAACTGAACCTGGAACCCTCCCTCTGGCCAGGCTAGTCAGCCAGTGATCCCCAGAAATCTGCTGTCTCCCTTGCCTGCCCCCCAAGCACTGGGGTTCCAGATCCACTGGACACGGTTTTGATGTGGAGGCTGGGAATCAGAGTTCAGGTCCTCAGGCTTGTGCAGCAGGCAAGGAACCAACTGAGCCACCTGCCCAGTCCCGTGCATATTTTATTTCTTTTAAGATGGGGTCCCACATACACAGGCTGGTCTCCAACTCCCTGTATTACCAAAATGACCTTCTCTGAATGCTGGGATTACAGGCACATGCTCTATTCTCAGCTGTGGTTTTTTGTTTGCTTATTTTATTTGTTGTTTGTTTTTCAAGACAGGGTTTCTCTGCATAGCTCTGGTCATCCTGGAACTCTCTCTGTAGACCAGGCTGGCCTGGAACTCCCAGAGATAAGCCCTGCCTCTGCCTCTGCCTCTGCCTCTGCCTCTGCCTCTGCCTCTGTTGTTATTTTTCTTTTAGAGGCAATTTATAATAAGTGCTTACTCTCAAAACAAGAAACAAAAAGATTGAAGCTACTGTGCACAGCATGTTGGAGTTCGGGAAGGTAGGAAGGAAGAAAATCCGGAGGGAGACGAGGGCGTCTTCCTGTGAAAACTGTTGACTTCTGAGAGGTTAATGGCTTACCCAGGTTCATACAGCTAGTGTGGATCATTTTTGGAGTGGCACCTGTGTCCCCAACCCCATCACACAGTTCCTTCCTACATGGCTGCTGCATCTTTCCTGAGGTTATTATCTGTGTCCTGTGCTGCTGGCCATCAGGTTACACATAGTAGGTGCTTAGTGAAGGCACACTGTCTTCTCTGTCTCCCTTCTCACTCCATGTCGTTTATATACCAAGGCTGACTCTCACCTGCCCTCTGGCCAAGTGCAGACCTCCAGAGTGCACAAACTGCAGGGCTGAGTCCTGGGTTCCTGAGTTGACCCTGGGAAAGCAGCCAGAGCCATTGCTCTAGAGAGAATGTTACTGGCTCCCCGAGTGTGAGGACCAGTGGGACAGTTGTCACTGAGACTGTGTCCACACATGTCCCCACCCGACACCACAGTTGTTCTGGAACCTGGGATTTGGTACAGCGAACTAGAGAACTTGTGACCTCAGCTCATCAGTCCTGGGGTGATGGACCAAGTTCAACTTCTGCACCTCCTGTCCATCAAGATAAAGGAATACCGCACTGTTTTGTGATCGGACACGTCATTGTCTGGCTTCTTGAAGTGCAAGGGTTGAGGGAGACAGCCTGCAAGTCTCTTCCAGTAATAGATTCTCGACCGTTTAGCAAGATTTCCTTTGAGCCTGCAAAACTAACCACTGAAGACATGGGTTCCTGTTTTACTTTGCTTAAACTGGAGTTAGCTTGCCAGGAACTGTAGGAATCAAAAATAGACAGAAAGCTGGGTGAGATGTGGCTCTGAAGACAGACCTGGGACATTGGGGTGGCATGCAGAGGTACCACTCCAGAGAATCTGAAAGCCAGTCTCAGGATAAGGAAATCACATAAAGATGTGTATATTGTTAAAAAAAATAAAAAACTCAAACCTAAATAATGTTCATAAATTGAAGACTAGCTTACTATCGCATTCATATAATCAGCTATCATGAAGTCATTAAAATCATATTAGCCAGGAGTTGAACACACATCTGTTGTCCCACACTTTTAAGACTGAAGCAAAAAAGATCAGGGGGATTTGCAACCAGCCTGGACTATGTAAGGAGACACTGTATTTAAAGAAAGAAAGAAAGAAAGAAAGAAAGAAAGAAAGAAAGAAAGAAAGGCTGAAGTGCAACTATGTGAGTTTGAGGCCAGCCTCATCAACAAGTGAGTTCTAGGATAACCAGGACCGTTGCACAGAAAAACCCTTTCTTGAAGAAAACAAACAAAAACCCCACATTGCCTGGTAGTAGTGGTTCATGCCTTTAAGCATTCAGGAGACAGAGGCAGGTGGATGTCTGAGTTCAAGGCCACCCTTTTCTACAGAGTTCCAGGACAGCCAGGGCTACACAGAGAAACCTTGTCTCAAAAAACAAAAACAAAAAACCAACAAAATCTCTTTGTAGGATTTCAGGAGTACTTATAACAATGCAAAGGTGGTATGTGTAATTGTGTCTTCTGTTGTTGTTGCTTTTGGAGCCAGGGTTTCACCATGTAATTCTGGCTGAACAGACTAGATGAGGCCACTAGGGTGGCCTCAAACTCATAAAGATCCACCTGCTTCTTTCTCCTGAATGTGATTGTACTAACATAAATTATAGATAAACAGACTGGTAGATAGACACACATTTATATTCAGTGTGTAGGAAGACACAGTGTACTTGTCTCTGAGCAATGTGTTTTTTTGTCTATGAGTTTTTTTTACAGTTAAAGAGATACATTATATGCTTGCCTTTTTAGGCTTTCCTAGACATCCTGAGGTGTTCTGTTGTAGCAACTAAATCTGCTAATTTGTGCCACTCCACACTTCTCTCCATTTTTCCCTGTCTTATCTACTTGCATACCTTTGCTATTCACAGCCTCTTAGCTACTTTTCTGCTGTTATAACAAAACACCATGATCAAAGCAACTCCTAGGAGCATTTACTGGGGGAGAGTGTCAGAATAATTATCTCTGCATGTTATGAGCATTTAGAATTATCTGAATAGCAAGTAGGTCTGCAAGCTTATTTTCATGACTGGAGAATATTTTTTAAAAATGTGCCATGTCTGGGCTGGAGAGATGGCTCAGCAGTTAAGAGCACTGACTGCCCTCCCAGAGGACAGGGGTTCAATTGCCAGCACCCAGCTCACACCTGTGTGTAATTCCAGTTCCAGGGAATCTTACACCTTTAGACCAATTCACATAAAATAAAGCTAAATAAATAAAATAGAAAGACTGGGGACACTGTGGGGACATGTTCAGCAGGAGGTTAATGGCATGAGTCTAAAAGATTACAGTGACGGATCATGAAGCCTCAGGCCATGCTCAGCTTGTATCAAGTCTTAGCTGAAAATAACAGAAAGGATTTTGATAATGCATTGACATAAACTTTATCCCCAAAGAGTCCTGTCTTGCTTGTTGTCTAACAATGGCCAAAGGATGGCATTCCCCAATGGACAGCCATCGTTCAAGTGAGGCTTCCTAGACTTCTATTGGCTCTTTCAACTTTGGGGTGTTGTCTTTGAACTTGGCCATCATCAGCAATGTTCACACCCAGGGGTTCCCTTCAGGGCTCCATAGCCTTTCCAGTACTCTCTTCCCTGAATTCCTTAAGAACAGAACTCTGGAGCTGGAGAGATGGCACTTGCAGCTCGTGCAGAGGACCTGGGTTTGGTTCCCATCACCTACATGCTGGCTGTTCACAAGATCTGTAATTCGCTGGGTGTTGGTGGCGCATGCCTTTAATCCCAGCACTCAGGAGGCAGAGGCAGGTGGATCTCTGTGAGTTTGAGACCAGCCTGGCCTACAAGAGCTAGTTCCAGGACAGCCTCCAAAGCCACAGAAAAACCCTATCTCAAAAAACCAAAAATAAGAGAAAAAAAATCTGTAACTCCAGGTCCAGGGGATCCAACACTTTCTTCTGGCCTTTTTGGAAATTGCACACTGATGGTGTATGTATATGCACACAGACAAACACTCATACATAGATTTTAATATTAAAACAAAAACCAGAACTCTGGTTTTGTTGGGGATGACAGAGTGGATCACCCAGGCCATGCTGGGAATTATGGCAACCCTATGTCACCAGCCCATCTGGCTATTGAAGGTGCCGAGTGACCATCCTAACCAGCAGGACTGACATGAAAAGAGCACTTGTGGCTGCATTATCCTAATATTTTTGACAGGTTTCTGCTTTAGGGAATGGCAAAAGCCACAGTTCCACTGGGAAAGCTGGAGAATCTAGGAATGCCAGGTTTCGGCTGAGTACCAACCCTGCCCTTTCAGCCCCGCCCTCCACCAGCCTTTCTTAGCCTGAGAAACTACTGTTGGCTTTAACACCTGCAGTCAGGTTTTCTGTTGCTCACAACCTTCCTCTTTACCAGGGACCAGCACTTCCTTCTGCTTTTTCTCCACAGGAGTAAAAAGAGGCTTACCCTGAGGAGGCTTACCTTCTCTCCAGTCCCCACTTAGACCTTTTATGTCCCTGTAGTTCACTCCACCCACAGATTGCCTTTTTTTCAGTTTCCTCCATTCTAACCTCAACTTCCCATTTCCTTTGCTTAATTCCCTCCAAGAAAAACCACCTTCTATTCATGCACGATAACCTAACTCATTGAACATCCCCCACATCAACAAACATCACAAAGATGCCCCCCCCCAGAGACAGACAGACAGAGAGAGAGAGAGAGGAGAGGGAGGAAGGGAGAACACCCCACCCAACCACCCATCACACACTTAAAGAACACCTCTGGTCTTGGTGCAGATACGACATTCTGATCTCTGCTTGGAATATTAGAACATTCCATACAATTGTCTCTTTCCTTCACAGTTAATCCAGTTGGGCCCGTCAATCACTTAGCTAAAAGACCATCACTCAGGGAAGCCAATTCACAGAGGCCAAGCCAAGATGGGCGGAGTAACTATCCCCTTCATGAGGTAATGTACTTTCCTTCCTAGAAGCCCCACCCTCAATACAGTTGCTTAGGGAGCCTCTGCCACAGAGCTCTGTTAGTCTGCCTACTTCTGGGGCTGGAGAAATGGCTCAGTGGTTAAGAGCACTGACTGCTCTTCCACAGGACCTTCTCAGCATCCACATGGAAGCTCACGACTATCTGTACTCAAGAGGATCTGATGTCCTCTGCTGACCTCCTTAGGCACCTTGTTCAACTGATGCACATACATAACACTCATACACATTAAATGAAAGTAAATTTTACAAAGTCTGCCCACTTTTTAAAAATACTAAGAAAAGTGTAACTTTTTCTTTTATTCTATCTCTCTCTCTCTTATTTTTTTTTTTTTTCTAAAACCGTGGTGTCTGTTACCTGATGCTCTGGGATGTCTCTGTCTTCTTTGGGCGTGTCAGTTTGCTGACCTTTAATCCCAGTACTCGGGAGGCAGAGGCAGGCGGATCTCTGTGAGTTTGAGGCCAGCCTGGTCTCCAGTGCGAGTGCCAGGATAGGCTCCAAAGCTACACGGAGAAACCCTGTCTCGAAAAACCAATATATATATATATATATCAATTATTTACCTATTTCTAGGTATGGTCTCACTATGTAGCCATGGCTGCTCTCAAACTCAGAGATCTGCCTGCCTCTGCCTCTAGTGCTGCAATTAAAAGTGTGCACCACCGTGTCCAGCTCTAAGTTCTTTTATTGAGGTTAAAAGCCAAAAAAGGTTGTCTTGGTTTCACTGGTAATAATAAAACACAGGTATACCACACACAACACAGATCACACAATATACTTTTAAAATACTGCGTATGCCACACACAGCATTTGTCATACAGCACATACATACACACACACAGCGCGCACACACCTCACCTCTCTCCTGACCCGCTGATTTTTATACTTTTCTGCTCAGTGGATGCAGAGCTAAGCCCCAGAGTCCCTCTGCACTTCTGCCCACTTACAGCTGCTCATGCCAGACATAGTGCTCTTAATTTACATACAAACTCAGAGCAGAAGAGGTTGCCTCAGGGACCAGGCCCTCCTCTGTCCTGGCACACTGGGAGCCTGAACCTTCTTCCCAGGGTGTGCAGATGGCCTGCCCCAGGGGACGGATATGCCATGGAGAGCATGAGAACAGAGTCTCTCAGGGATTCTCAGTTCCGAATCTGACCTCAGAGGCAGGGCTCCCAGGCCACCCCAAAGGGCTATTTTGGGACACTTGCGCCAGCTCCACCTCCTCCAGAAGAGCAGGGTTGGCCAGAGTACTTGGTATTTGTGGGGATCCTGTGCTGTCTCCTCAGGCTCTTTCCTGAAGTAACACTGCACTTGGGCTGCTGAGGAGCTGTCCACCCAGGAGAGCATCCTTAGACCCAGCCCAGTGAAGGATAGGTGACAGGTGTCACCTTCCTCTGGGTTAGGGGCTCCTGTAGCGTTGCCACTGAATGATGAGAGCACCAAAGGAGTCCCCTAAAAACATGTGCTGGTCAAAGAGAGACTAGGGTGGGCAAGGCAGTGGCCTCTTTCCTGTGAGAAGCTTCCTCCATAGGGGTTAATTTCTGCCTGCTGGATACACAGGTTACATAACCAGGGTCACCTTGGGGTTTGCAGGGGCCCCTGATGTGTCCTGGCATCTGTGATCTTCAATTACCTCCATGTGACTTCCCAGCCTCCTGACATGGCCCACACTGTTCTAAAAGCTGTCCTGGTTTCTGCTCTTCCTGTCCTGGGCAGCCTTGTTGGGCTGGCAGGCAATGGGGTATTAAGGCTTTTTGCTGGGCTATCTGAAACCTTCTGCACTCCACGAGGCCTCGCCCTCTGAGGAGGATCTGCCAGGTCAGCATCTGTGGGTCCAGAAGGAGGAGAGGGGAAGGGTGCCCCGCCTGCAAAGGAACCAGAGTGAGTTCTTTGAAAGGCACTTTGGAAAGAATCTGAGGCGCTGAGGTGTAGTTTAGCCGTAGGCACTTGGTTAGCTCGCACAAGGTCCTGGGGCGGTCCCTAACAGCATGCACACACTCCAAGTTGAAACCTGGCCTGTGACCACGGGCAAATGGGTTTACAGCTGGGGTCCTTTCCTTCCCTGTGATCATGAGCAGTGAACTTGTGAAGATCCTGCAGACTGGGTCACCTGCAATTAGTGGGTGCCTTTCTCATGGGACTCCCCAGGGTGGGGCTTTCTTCTAAGGTTCTTTCTGTAGTCCCAAAGATACTTTATGTGGGAGGGGTCTCTGACACATCACACCAAACATACTAAAACATGCTTGCAAACCTCATGCACAGACACACACAAACACACACACACACACACACACACACACACACACACACACACACACACACATACACACTCACACACACACACATGCACATAAGAAACTGCTTAGCAATAAGTAAGTGGATTTTGATCAGCTCTGATTTTTTGGTGGCCATGGTATACACTGCAAATTCTTAGGAAACGAGGAAGAAGGTCACAAAGAGTTTCTAAATGTGATGCCATTTCCCGAACCCTGAATGAATTAACTTACAGGCCAGGCAGAAAATCGTTGGTAACTTAATATCAGGTCGGCACAAGGTTATTCACAGAAATGGGCAGGCACACCAATGAGGCGCCAGCTCCCTCCCCCCTAACTAGTGAAAGTGGTTTTGCTCTTAAGAATCAAATGCATAGCCACTGATCTAGAAGTGCAGGCTACAAGAGTCCACTGAGGAAGTCCCTAACAGGGACTGTGGTTCAAGAAGAGCTCTGGCCACCCAAGCAGGTGTTAGGAATCCTGCAGGAAAAGTGTGCTCTTAGGGACAGTCCCTGCCTCCAGCCTCAGACCTTGTTCCTGAAGAGTCCTAATTTTAGATCAAGGCTTGGCCCCAAGGACTTAATCTCTTTATATGTTTGTATCTGTAGTGTGGTCCCTTTGTTCTAGTGCAGCTCTGTATTCGGAACCTTTGTCCTACTTGCCATGTTTGTTTTAGTTCTCTTTTTATCTTCTATTTCTGATAGGCCCCCCTGGCCAGCAGAACTGAGGAGAGCTTGCCCAGCAAGGGGGACCGTGGCCTCAGCAAAGCCCTGCACTCTGTTGGACCCTTCCTGTCCCTCAGGTTTTGGGAGGGGGGTGGTCCTTGATCTTGAATCCAGACTGCTAGGGTCTGCGGGTGGCCTGGCTTCAAAGTGAGAACGCCTTATGATTTGCAAGTGTGCCAGCCCGGGACTCTTTCCTGGCCCCTCAGCAGGGCCTCTCTCTGAGGGGGTGTGTGAGAAGGGGCTATGGTCAAGGTTGTCCTCAAGGGGGGCATAAACTGCGCATGGTGTGTTCAGTGGTGAGATCCCAGAGCAAACGGGCAAACCAAATGTTTGATGTTGGGTGAGGGGCGTGAATAAAATGTTACCAAGACACATGTGGTACCTGGTACTGTTTAGGTAAAGACACCCACATAAGAACAACACAGCATGCTTTGTGTAGGCTGGTGTGTAAATAAAGGAGTAGGAAGGTCTATGTTCCTTTAAGATTGGGCATAGACATCAAATCCATTGTTATAGGAGGATGGTGTTGTAGACTATGTTCCTGCTTGTGGCCTCAACAAAGCAGGCTAAAAATCAAAATGGAGTCAGGATAAAAGGCAAACCTAAGCGATGCTATTATACCACTCTCAGAGAAATCAAGGTGGGAGAGACAAAAGCCACTGCTCTCAAACAATGAAAATAAAATGGAATGAAAATAAAATTCACGGGCTCGAGAGATGGCTCAGAGGTTAAGAGCACTGGCTGCTGCTCTTCCAGAGGTACTGAGTTCAGTTCCCAGCAACCACATGGTGGCTCACAACTGTCTGTAATGAGATCTGGTGCCCTCTTCTGGTGTGCAGATATATATGGAAGCAGAATGTTCGTTTCTCTGTGGCTTTGGAGGCTGGTCTGGGACTAGCTCTTTTTGACCAGGCTGATCTCGAACACACAGAGATCCACTTGCCTCTGCCTCCCAAGTGCTGGGATTAAAGGCGTGCGCCACCAACGCCCAGCTAATAAAATCTTTAAACACACACACACACACACACACACACACACACACACACACACACACACACGTTCATTAAAAAAAAGAAAAAAGAAAAAAAAAATTCATGCCTTTAATCCCAGCACTCCGGAAGCAAAGACAGGTGGAGGCCAGCCTGATCTACAGAGTGTGTTCCAGGACAGCCAGAGAAACCCTGGCTCAAAAAAAAAAAAAAAAAAAAAAAAAAAGGAAAGAAAATTTCAATGAAAACCAATAAGTATAATAAAAGAGAAAAGAAAAGAAAAGGAAGTTCCCTCCACTTGAATCTTCACAAAAGACACAACCTGAGTTAGTCCCCAGTCTCCAGTCCGGCCTTACAAGGAAGGAGACTTTGAAGCCACCGTCCCCCTTTAGTCTTGGTCTCTGCTTCCTTTGAGCTTTTATTTTATAAAGTCACCCTTGTTCTCTCCTGACCACGGGAGCTACTTTGTCAATGGAACAAAGTGTTAATGGGCCTGGGGTTGAAAGTGAAGCCAACAAACATCTTTAAAGCCAAATGCAATTTTATTCTTTTTTTCTTCCCTCTTTTTTGCAACTTTATTCTTTGGCACCATATATAGTAGTTACCTCAGAGGAAAGCAGTCCATAGGGGATAAAAATGAAAAACTAAGATTTCTCACACTGGATAAAGGTTCACTGGCTGAAGTAAAGCCTTATTAACCTTTTTTTCCCCTTTCTTTCTTTTATTTTTTGAGATGAGGTCTTAGTAATTGTCCAGGCAGCTCTTACAAATCCTGGACTGAGCTGGGTGTGATGGCGAATACCTTTAGTCCCAGCTCTTGGGAAGCAGACTCAGGAGGATCTCTGAGTTTGAGACCAGCCTGGTCTACAGAGTGAGTTCCTGGACAGCCAAAGCTCACAAAGGAATCCTGTCTTGATGGAAAGAGAGAAAAGGAAAGAAAAGAAATCCTGGGCTGGACTGGAGGGTCCCTCTGTTCCAATGAATATTGAGCTTGTTTTTAATCTAAATAATTCTTGGAACTTGGAGAAGGGGTTGGGTAAGCTACTGCTTAGACGCAGAGCCATTGTTTAACTTCCTTCTTTTCAGCTACCTCCTGTGTGAATTGAGCACAGTAAAAATAGCGACAAGAGGGACTTTCAAAGAACTAATTGACCTAGTAGACAGGATATATATATAAGCTAGTTATAATTAGCTTCTTTTTTGAGACAGCGTCTTGTATAGCCAAGGCTGGCTTCAAACTTGCTACATAGCCAGATGACCCTGGGCTCTGGTCCTCTTACCTCCATCTTCTCCAAGTGTTGGAACTACCAGCATGTACCACCATGCTCTGTTTAGTATTTTGTTCTTTTTGTTTATTTGTTTTTGGGACAGTGTTTCACTGTAGTCTTGTTTGGCCTGGAACTAAAAAATCTGCCTGCCTCTACCTCCCAAACGCTGGGATTAGAGGTGTCTCACCACACCCAGCAGTATTTTGTTCTTAAAAGCAATTTTAAGATTTAAAATTTAAGTGTTTATAAAGATGAGCTCTAAATAAAAACCATTTGCCCTTTCCAAAACACATAAGAAAAAGAATGAACAGGGCTGCCTTGAGTTTTCTAGGAATGGACCCCACTCTATTAACATCCTTGGCTCCTAGGAGAAGGGACAGAGGGAAAGATTTGTGTCCTACAGACACAGGGTCTGTGCTGGGTGTAATGAGAATTCACCATATTCCCTAAGCCAGATTTCTCACTTTACAGATGCCAGTAACAATGAGCTTAGGGAATACTGAGAAACAGACCATCGGGGGTTGAGTGTACAGCTCAGTTGTAGAGTAGGTATTAACCTTGCACAAACAAGGCCTTGGGTTTGATCCTCACAAGTGAACAATAACCTTCCTGGAGAACACTGGGATTCAGTTTAACATCATACAACCCCCAAAGAATCTACAACAGTGCCTAAAGCAGCCACACTTGACAGCATGATGTTACAGTGTGAGCAAGGAGATTAATTTATCATCCACACCCTACAGCTGAAGAAAAAGGTGCAAATGTGGTCGAAGGCCTTGGCACACACCTTTAATCCAAGCCTCCAGGAGGAAGAGGCAGGCAGAAATCTGTGAGTCATAGGCTTGCCTGGTCTACAGAGTGAGACTCTAAGAAAGAGAGGGAGAGATGGGGAGAGCAAAGGAAGCAAGCAGCTGAGGAAGCTAGTCCAAAGTCACAGGCTCTGGCAAGCTCTTAGCCACAGCACCCTTTATCTCCCTCCTGCCACATACCACCGCCCACCCCAGCAGGATGCGGCGATGCTCTCAGAGTTTCTGCAAAGCAGGAAGGGAGAAGGCAGTCTTGTGGCCTCCCAGGGCCCTCTAGCAGATGCTTGTCACACACCTAGAGGAGCAACATGGCCTCCTGGGTTGGAATGACAGGTTTTCTTCAGAGCTGGGAAGTCTTAAGGAGACAGGGTGTTAATAATTTAAAAAAGAAATGGTGGAAAGGAGTCACACCATACAGCAAGGCTCACATGGGAGGTTTATTGGAAGAGGAGAGAGAAGGAACAGAGAAGGGGGTAGAGACCAGTCCCTAGGGACAAGAATGGCAGAAGAGAGAGAGACAGACAGACAGACAGAGAGAGAGAGAGAGAGAGAGAGAGAGAGAGAGAGAGAGAGGAAGAAGGAAGATCAGGGAGCTGGGCAAGGCCCAGCTTTTAAAAGAGAATGTAGTGAATGTAGACAGGAGGTGCTCTTACTGGCAGCAGCTGAGGGTGAATCCTAGCAGGACCCCAAGGGCAGTCCAGTACAGATGCCTGAACACTAACACAGGGAGAGCAAGACCATAAGTGTCTTGAGAATACACGGTGAAGTCCTGATCCTGGGTAAAGTGTTTGATTTTATTTGTGAATAAAGAGAAACTCATACAGGATTAGAGTGAGCCCCAAACCCAATAAACAATATCCCTGTTAAAGGAAAAAAAACTGGACAGAGATAACTTTTTAATTTGCTTCCTATTGCTGTGATAAACACCATGACCAAAAGCAATTTGGAGAAGAAAAGTTGGCTTTACCTTACAGCTATATTATGGTTCATTAGGAAAGAAGTCAGGGCAGGAACCAGGAGGCAGGAGCTGATACAGAGGCCACGGAGGAGTGCTGCTCACTGCCTTGCTCATCCTGGCTTGCTCAGCCTGCTTTCTTGTAGCAGCCCTATGAATGACACCACCCAAAGTGGGCTGGACCCTCCCACATCCATTGTTAATCAAGACGTCTACAGACAATATGATGAAGGCCATCCTTCAGTTAAGGTTCCTTCTTCCCAGATGACCTTAGTTCATGTCAAGTTCTCAAAACAAAATGAACAAAAACAAACAGAAAACCAAAACTACCCAGCGCAGGGACTCAGGGAAGACAGAAGCCATATTGAGCTGGAGGTAGGGTTTGAGGGATGAGACTGTGACTGAGACATTGAGATGGTCAGCAGCCCACAACAGAAGAGGCAAGGAAGCATTCCAAGAGCACAGCTCTGCTAATGCTTGACTTAGGACTTCTGGCTCCCAACACGATGAGAGAATGGATTCTTGCTGTCTTAGGCCATGCGTCTTGTGCTGGAAAGCTATTTGGTTAAGTTGCTTCAGAGATGCTTGGGCAATCAAAACCAGGAACAGTAATTACTGTCAACATGTCATGTGCACCAGGTAATGGGCCGACGGATTTTATCTTTGACCCTAATGTATTTTATTATCCTCTTAGATAATAATAAAGCCTGCCAGTCAAATTAGTGAGCTATATAAAACCCAGAGAGGTTAGTAATGAAGTCGGAATCTATGCAAAAACACCTTGAGCTGCACAAGTGGACTAAACTTTGAAAGTTGAAGCTGAACAAGGGCAAAGTCCTTTGTTTAGGTTCAAAGAAGTAATTGTCTGGTTGCAGGATGAAGATTTCTTACCCTGGTGACAGCTCATACAACAAAGGCACTGCCTGGGCACTGTGGATACGCTGCAGTCATGGGAAAGGCAGAGCCTCATAGCCCACGAGACAGAAAACCAGTATCTCAGGAGCCCCTGGGCTAGCCAGGTCACATATGGAGCTCCCCCTATCCCTGGGTGCCATACATCCGGGACTCTAGGCAGGAGAGTGAGGAGTCCATAAACTGCAGTGCAGGGAACAATTGGAACACTGAGGCTGCTTTTCCTGGGAAGGGGAAGCCATGGGAAGGTGGCACATATTTAAATACTTAGTGCCTTTTTGTTTTGTTGTTTTTGAAACAGGCTCTCACTGTGTAGCTATGGCTGTCCTGGAACTCGCAATGCAGACCAACCTGGTCTTGAACTCACAGAGATAAACCCGCTTCTGTCTCCCAGGTGCTGGGATTAAAGGTGTGTGTCATTAAGCCCAGTCTGACTGGCGTTTGTGAAGCAGTGGGGGACAGGCCAATTGTGTGATACTCAGGAGAGAATGGCTCAGTGGTTCCAGGATGGGCACAGCTCAGAGTTAGCCAATTAGAGATAGAGTGCTGTGCTCCCTATGGCTGTAGCAGTCAGTTCAAAAATAGTCTTTTTTTGAGATCCAAACCAGATCAACTGTTAGCCATTGCAGGCATTTGGTTGTACCTAGCTGGAAGACAATCCTTCCATAGGTATCAATACACTGCAGGATGGGAGCCTGCAGACTTCAGAGGGCAGCTGACTGCAGTGAATTCACACAGATGGAGATGTGAGATGGAGACAGAAGCACCCTTCTGGCATTACGGGCAGATCTGGACCAAGGCATACCTGTGACTTTTGATTCTTTGT